ACGCTCGGGCCGTGCCACCCCCCCCCGCCCAGAACCCCATTACCTTCCGTGCAGCATCTGCCCCCCCCAGTCCCCCTCCGCAGGGACACCCTGCCCCCCAGACCCCTCTCGAGCCCCCCGGCTGGGCCTGCACCCCCCCACCCCAACACCCATTACCTTCTGTGCAGCATCTGGCCCCCCCAGCCTGCAGGGACACCCTGCCCCCCAGACCCCTCTCGAGCCCCCCCAGCTGGGCCTGCACCCCCCACCCCCGGGAAGGCCACACACCCCCACCCACACTCCCAGGCATGCCCCTAGCCTCTACTGGGTGGCAGGGAGACGGCCCGGCCCAGCAGAGGGGGTTCTGGGAGGAGACCCTAGGGGCAGACTAGCTCCTCCCCCCCCTCCCCGGCTCACCCACGGCTGAGCCAAGGGCAGTGCCCCCTGCGGAGGGGGAAGGCGTGGCATGGACAGGCAGCGGAGCATGTGATGCAGCAATGGTGCCGGGGCCCCACACGACCCCCCTGGCGGGGGCAGCTCCTCGCTCTGCAGCAACACCCTCAGAGGGAGGCTCCTCTCCTGCCCTTTACTGAGCCCCCGGCGGGGTTCCCAGGCGGCCCCACTGCTCCCCTGGGGCTGGGATCCTCCGGCTGCCCGGGCCCCCCGGCCCCAGCCCAGCTCACAGCAGACGGCAGTGCGACTGCTTCTGCTTGGGAGCAGGCTCCGTCCCCACTGCTGCTGCCTCAGGCGCTGCCCCCTCCTGCCCGCCCCCTGCCCCCGGGCTCTGCGTTCGGCTTCCCTCGCTGCCCACGGGCAGGGGACGACGCCCCTGCTGCCTCCTGGCGCCACGCACACCTGCTCTGTGCTGCCCCGCGGCCTCCATCTCCGACAGGCTGTAGGCCATGGCCAGCTGCAGGTCCTCGTCCTCCTCCTCGCTGTCCGTGTACAGGCAGACCGGGGACGAGTCGCGGGGCCGCGGCGGTGCTGGGGGCGAGGGCGAGGCCTGGCCCAGGAGGGCCTGCTGCTCCCGGCGGCTCAGCTCCAGCCCCAGCGCCATGTCGTCAGGGACACCTGGGGGGCAGGAGGCACAAGCGTCAGGGCCCAGGCCTGGCCGTGGGGCGGGGGAGGATGGGCCTGGGGGCACCGGAGGGGGACCCTGGAGACCCAAGTTCAATTCCTAGGCCTGCCCCTGACTGGCCCAGGGTGAGCCGGGGAGACAGCAGCACTGAGACCCAGAGCAGATGTCTGAAGTGGGGAGAAAACCCCCCCCCCAAACCTCCCAGGGGGCGGAGCTCAGCCAACACACTGAGGGAGTCCAGAGCCAGGGGCCACCCCGTCCCCCAGAGACCCCTCCCACCCCACTCCTCACCGTTAACGTGGATCGATTTCAGCTCCCCGTCCTCTTCCACCTCCACCCGTTCCTGCCCGTTCTCCACAATCCTGCAGAGACAGACAGCGCCAGGTCACCCAGCCGGCCAGGGCGGCACCCCGCGGGAGAGAGACGACGGGTCCCCCGGGGACGGGGTGGGGGCACTGTGCGTGCCATCTAGGGATTGTGCCAGGCTACGGGTTCCATGTGCATCCGGGGCAGCTGCCAACTCCATTCTGAGCGTGGGCTGGTCGTTACCGTCTCAGGATCTCCTGACCTCGGGCGCAAGCGACACATCCGGGGGGCGCAGGTCGTTGATTTCAAGTGCTCTCCCATTGCAAGGGAAATCACCCCTGCCCAGCACTGTGCTGACAGGTTGCCAGGCAACAAAGCCTCCTGGTAGGACTCTGGGCTCCCTGGCTGGAGCTGATGAAGGCCTCACCCGGCAGAGGGGCTGGGAGGTTATAAAGGGCAGAAGCTGCGCTGGTCGGGCCGGGTCAGCAGGTCAAACAGAACAGCTGCGGCAGGAGGCAGCGGAGCTGGGGGGACCCTGCCTGGACACAGCTGAGCCCCACGAAAGGTCAGCTCTGGCGTGGCAGGACGTGGGACTGGCTGACCCCATGGAGGGCACTGGCATGGCGGGAGGTGGGGCACCCGCCTGGCTGGCCCCATGATCTGGTCCCCTGGAACAGCCTGGGAGACAGGCTGGCTTGGCCATTGGCCAGTCTGCGCTGGCCCATCCCTACCTCTTTGTGGTGATGCGTTTGCCGTTGACGAAGGTGGTGGAGGTGGAAACCGAGCGGAAGCCGATTCCGGGGTCGGTGCCGGGGCTGAAGGACGAGGAGAAGAAATCTGAAAAACAGGGCGACAACCTCACAGCAGGAGCCCCCAGCCTGGGCCAGGCCCCGGGGAGCCCCGTGGGATTACAGGGGGTCCCTTGGCCGGGTGTGAGAGGGTGACGGGGCGGTAACGGGTCAGCCAGGGGATGCACTGCAGGGCGGGTGTGAAACTGGGATAGAAAATGTCTGTCCAGGATTCGCAGGGCGAGACTGTCCCTGAGTCGCCGGAGCTGAGGGGTGGAGGTTTGGGCCAGGCCGGGCCAAGCCGGGGAGCTGGAGCCGAGGGGAGGAGGTTTGGGCCGGGCCGGGGAGCCGGAGCAGAGGGGAGGAGGTTTGGGCCGGGCCGGGGAGCCAGAGCTGGAGCCGAGGGGAGGAGGTTTGGGCCGGGCCGGGGAGCCAGAGCTGGAGCCAAGGGGATGAGGTTCGGGCCAGGCCGGGCCGGGGAGCCGGAGCCGAGGGGAGGAGGTTCGGGCCGGGCCGGGGAGGGGAGCTGGAGCGACCCGGGAGAAAGCTGGAGCTGGGACCACACAGGTGCCCTCTCCAGTGGGGCAGGTGCCCAGGGAGTACAGGCTGGCAGCGACAAGCAGGCTGCCCCCTACCTGAGGATGCCGGGAAAGAGGAGAAGAAGGAGCCTGGTCCGGGGCGTCGGAGGCCAGTTCCCCGCAGCTCTGAGAACGGCAGCATCTCATCTGGAAGGCAGGGACCGCGGCGTGAGCACAGCCCGAGAACCCCCCTAGCAGGATGCCAGGCCAGGCCGCGCCAGCCACACAACTCCAGAGCGCAGCCAGTCCACCCCGGGGCAGGGCACCCATGGGCCCCAAAGGGGGCTCTGGGGGGGCGGTACCGGGGGCCTACGGAGCTGGCACTTCCTTGTGTCCAGCTGCTGAGTTGCAGGAAGAGAGTCTGAAGATCCCGCAGCCCGCGGCGCTGCGGGATCAGGCCCACCCAAGAGGCAGGGCCTGGGTGCTAGTCGCTCAGACAGGGCCACACGCTGCCGAGGGCTGGGAGCCAGCGGGCGTTGCCCAGCCTCTCTCAGCTCACGTGTCCCGAGGCTCCCTGCAGCCCAGCTGCCCCCCTCGTAACTGCAGCCCACCGCTTCCAGCCGCCCTGCCGGTGCCCGCAGCGAGCCCTTGGCCGGCGGGTAGGGCACGGCCCTGGGACTCCTACCACAGGCCTGGGCCCAGCACCGGCTGTTGCGGATTGTGGGGGAGTTAGGGCCCTGCACCCCCGACTTCCTGCGATTCACCATGACTCTCAGCCAGCCAGTAAAGCAGAAGGTTTATTTGGATGACAGGAATACAGTCCAAGACAGGTCTTGCAGGCACAGACAACAGGGCCCCCCTCAGTTAGGTCCAGCTTGGGGTCCCAGGGCATGCCGGCCCACCCCC